CAATAATTCTGCTTTACTTGGTCTTGTCACATTTTAAACTCTCCTTGGTCCATTATTCCACTTCTACTCCCATCTAATCACAAAAGTCTAGACTGAACAATTGTTGCAGAGAGATGAAATTTTTTCTTTAAGAAACTCTGGACATGACTGCAATGCTAAGAGATACCCTGTTCCAGAAACCAAGCCCAGGCTTGTCTATGTATGATGGCTACTCAGGCAACACTGGCCATTTACTGGATATACGACTTTAAAAACTAGTCATTTCTCCTCTCTACGCCTCATACATTTGTCATAAAAAGTAAGGTAAACGTTATTACCAGTAGGGTTATGCTGAGTTCTAAATAATGAACAGAAACTGAGCTATTAAAGCAGCAGCCAACAGGGCTTGGGATATAGCTCAGTGGCATAAGCTCCTGCCTGGCAAGCGCAAGGTCCTGAGTTTGATCCCCAGTACCACAAAAAAACAAAAAACAAAAAAAGCAGCAGCCAACGAAGAGCAATAATTACAGTCACTGTTGTTAAGTGGTCTTCTTGTTCTCCAATCTCTGAATGATTTTATGAGACAAAAAACCTGGGGAGCAAATGAGTTATAAATTTTAAAAACATAAATAACCCAAGACTGAAATATACAAAGCACAAGGACATAGCAAGTCACCAGTATGTATCACAGAAGCCTATCCAGCCTAACTCAGTCGCTGAAATTCTACAGGACTAGCATTAGCTCCCCCGCTGCCCAGGGGGGTTTAGATTGAGGAAAATCTAATTTAGGGCATTAGGTTAGGATACACATGTCTTATCTCTATGATTTAAGGAAATGTAGCCATCACAAAAGTTCCATGAACTCACAACATTTTCAGTACTAGTACTAGTATTTGCCTGGGGTGTTTTTCCAAGATATAAAGATAATACTTGAGCACATCAGCTTTTGATTACACTGGAATTTAAGAATTCTTCAGATGTCATTTTAAAATACTTATTAATAATTAACAATCAAAATATGTCCCTCAGTATCTCAAGATATTGGTTCCAAGACACTTGCTCGAAACCTATATTTAAAATGGCCTAGAACCTGCACATAACCTATACATATCCTCACATATAATTTATATCATCTCTAGATTACTTGTAATACCAAATACAAAGTCAATGATATGTAAATAGTTGTTCAGGGAATAATCACATTTTTAATGCAGATGTAAGTATTTTTTTTTTTTTTTTTTTTTTTTTTTTCTCCGGTACCGGGAACCGAACTCACGACCTTGCGCTTGCCAGGCAGGCGCTTTTGCCGCTGAGCTAAATCCCCAGCCCCCCAGATGTAAGTATTTTTCTTGGATCTCTTTATTACAGTTAGATAAATTCACAGGTATGGCCTTGGAGGATAATGAGAGCCGAATATAACTAGAAAATTCAAATATATACAATAAGATGAATAGTTCTCACGATGCAGATCTAAATGCCCCCTAAAATTTTCATGTGTGTGAAAGTTGACTGAATCAAGTGAGTGCCATATTCAGTAATTTCATCCACTGGAGTTCAGAGCAGCAAGGATTGTTAGGAGGTGGGGCCTGTTTGGAGGTGGATCACTGGGGGCATGATTTGGATGTATTTTCTCCTCCTTTCTCTCTCTGCTTCCTGGCTGTCAGAGGTTGAGCACCCTTTCCTCCACCATCCTGCTGCTGCCTTAGAGCCTGAAGACCATGGACTGAAACCAACTATGGACTGAAATTATAAATCAAAATAAACCTCTTCTTTCAGTTGCAGGTGTCAGGTATTGTATCCCATGACAGGAAAGTGACTAAGACAGGTATATATACATATATAGGTTTCTATACAGATACACACACACAAACACTATTTAAGTCTGTTTTCTTCCAGCCTGATATGAGATGAATTTCTTCCACAATATCTCTCCAGGAGATAGAACTTCCAAGCAGTGCTTTTTAAAAAAATATTTCTGACCTGCAGTTGGATGAATTCATGAATGTGGAACCCAAGGATACAGAGGACAAAGGGTAGAAATTCAAATAGACACAGGGGTATAAAAAAAAAAAAAAAAATCAAAATATATATATATATTTTTTTAAACTTAAATTTGCTTAAATAGAGAATACTATTCTCTTCTCCCTGCCTCTGATTCACGTGAATTTCTACTACAATATCACTGAACAGCAGGTAATACTTCCATCCAGTGATTCTCAAGCCCAGCTGCATCTTAGAATTTCTTGGAAAGCTTTAAATAAACATATTAATACTAATGCCCTGCCCTACATTTCTGGTATATCTGAAGCCAATGCTGAGAACTGCTAGTCAGATGAATCCTAAAAGTATTATTTATTGAATTTGGGAGACAGGTAATTGTTTAAATTGTAACTCAGAACTTCTAGATTTAAACTAGCATCATCATAAGAACTGGGTTCTGCAATGAGATGATGCTAGAAAACCTCTTAACGTGCTCTATACCAGTGGTGGTAAACCTACGGCACACATACCGCAGTGAGCCCTTTGTATCACTGAAAGCTCTAAAAGGTTGGCCATCACTGCTCTACACACTCTCAAAAGATGATCCGAACTAAATCTGCAAAACGAAGTTGTTGGTCTTCTAAATGTTCTCTCAAAAAAATACTTGACGACTGACAGTGGATTTCTTTTAAATGAAAGAGCACACCATTCTATTCCATTGTTCACTGGCAAAATCCTAAACCCTAGCGCCAAATACCTGGTTACAATTAATTTTCCCATTTCCTTACTAATTCTTAATAGTAATATGCAGCTTTGTTCTTAGAAATGTGAATCTTTTATTTTTCATTTTTAAAAAATCTATCAATTAAAATATAAAGCCTCCGCCAAATATTAGTTCACAACATAAACAAAATGCTTACAAACGGTTTTCCTGCCTGCTACCATTGCAGAGAATTGGGTAACAGCTGTGTATAATAAGCTCATTCCTTCCTTTAAAATATAACAGTAATTAAATCTTTATTAAATATTAGGCGTTTCTTTCAGGTGCTCGGGGCTCTAACAGCTCTGGCCTTAATATCCTTCTAGATGCTTCATGATGCATAATGTAAAAGCATAGCTACAGTTCAGACATCTAGAGCAGGCAAAGGTATCTCTAAAATAACACTAGAAAAATCTTATGTAACTACAATTTACTAAGCGCATATTATAAACTCTAAGTTGTGTTAGTCCCTGTGGTACTCATTTAATAAACCTGTTGTCCTAAATAGATGAAGTTACCATTTAGAAGAAATTAATGAAAGTCAAACAGTACGAAAATTATTTTCTTCAGTAGTTTAAAAAGTTTTTCATACTAGAGGGAATGCTCCACCCTTAAGTGAACAAGATTGTATCAATTCATTCATGGAAGAAATTTTTTCAGATTAATTCAACTAGATTAACTATGAAAGGATATGAAGTTAAACAAAAATCAAAACATAAAAATACATTTCCAACTTTAAATCTTTTTAACTTGAAAATTCTATGAACTATTTTAAGAATGACTTATAATCTATCTCTTTGTAGAGTCTTAGGCCACAGAGCTTATTGGTAAAACCATACTAATGAAGATACTGTATCGCAAATTCAGTAAGACAAAACATTACTAGGTGCAGCAATGAGTCCTTAGCTTTTTTTTAACACAAACTTTAAACCAACCCAAGTTATCCAGATGAATCATAAATTCACAGAATTGTAATTCAAGTCCATGCAAAAACGTCTTGACCCAAAATTGTCTGAAAATACAATTAAAAGCTTTATCTGAAGAAGCTACATGGCTCCAACTCTGCTACAACCCCCTAAAGTAAATACATATAAACATATAAACAGATATACACATGTGTGCATGTGTGTTTGTGCAAGTGTCTATATACGCACACACGCACACACGCCAGTGATAGCCTCGGGGCTGGCTTCGTTCTTAACGGCAGTGCGGGTGGAGGACAGCGCGGCGCGGTCCCCCTGCGAGAGTCGGGGAAGTGACCCGGGCCAGCTCCTTCCTCGCTCCAAAGAGAGGACGCGATCGCAAAGCCGGCGCTCCAGCCCCGATCTTGCCGGGCTCCGGGGACTGGCAAAAGGACGGAGCGCTCCCTCGGCTCCCAAGCCCGGACGGAGCCCGGCTCCCAGGCTGCGCGGCCCCGCCCCGGCCCCCACGCCCCCAACGCCCCGCGCCCGGCGGCCGCCGCGCTCACCGTCGATGTTCTCCCGGTCGCTGATGTGCTGCAGGTTGCAGCCCGTGTCCTCGCGGCTCAGGTCGGCGTCAGGCCGGTAGGATTCCAGGCGCGAGTGCGCGTTCCTGCGGAGCTTGGGGCTGGCCGACACGCAGCACGAGGTCGTGGTCCCCATCTTCGGCGGCCTGAGGCGCGGGCGGGCGCTGAGGGAGGCCCGGCCGCCG